GGGGGGGGGGGGGGGGGCGCGATTGACCCGCTCGTGCTACTGGAAGGGAGGTCGGGTTGCGACATGCCTTTAGGGGAGCTACACATCGCGAAAGATAAAGGCACTCGAGAGAAACGCCACTTCATTCAGCCGTAACAAGCTCATCCTGCCACCTCTTCCCACGTGCCGGAAGACACGTTCCGGATCAGAATCATGAAACAACCCCGGTCACAGCGAGTGAAGACAGTGGACGTCCCATCTCAAGCCAGAAAAGAGTGGCCGAGTGCACAAAACAGGAAAACGTATCATGCATGCCCCCCCCGCCCCCCGCCCCCCCGCCGCCGCCGCCGCCGCCGCCGAACACTACAAGCGACCCCCCTGGAGACAACGCACCTTATATCGTCATAAAACGGGGTCAAACACTTTAGAGGCAACACCTCCTCGACGTTAACCGAAGGTTTGTCGCCGCTCATGCGCTCGGCAACAAAAATAAGCCCACCTCGTTCCCACACCATCTTCCCGATAGCTCCACAAACGCCTCTGTGGAGTCCTGTCCCGCCCCCTCCCCTTCCGCCCCCGACTTTCGCCGTTCGTCAGCACCTCCCCCGCCGGCACCGCCGCAGACTGCTTCCAGGTAGGCGGAGAGTGCGGCGGCGGCAGCGGCCGCCGCCTCCGCGTCTCTTCGTCGGATGTCGGCCGTCGCTACCGCCCTTCGCTCGGCCCTCGCGAGGCCCGCCCTGGTGTCCTCTAGCTGGGCGGTAAGCTAGCGTTCACGGCAGCGGAGAAATATGGTCGCACAAAGAAACTGGAGTTTGAGATTCGCACTTCTGTTGCTGTTTTTGGTGGTGCGTGGTGGACGGTATTATAGTTATTACGATATAGGTGTGGCAAGTGGTTGTCGTGCTTGGTGCAGGCGACAGCCAGCCATGAAAACACCGCCTTCCTCAAGGACGAACAAATAAGACTGCGACAAACGCGGCGACGCCCAAATAGAGCTGTTGGTGATGAAGTGTTGCTGTCGCTGTTGCTGTCGCTGTCGCTGCTGCTGTTGGCAAGGCAGACACCCACTGCTATCTCGACGGACTGAGCATCATTTGAGCGGGAAGCTGCTGTGACAGGTGCCCTCACGCCAAATGCCCAGTGCACAAGGGCTGACTAGCAAAGCTGACGCGTAATCGGTGAGATATGCTTCGTTCTCGCTCCCCAAAGATCCACCATGCACCGACGAATGGCCAGCCTGGGAAATATGTCGATGACATTCTGCAACTTACCAACTTTTCCATCTCGGCCCAACGTCCTTGCCGACGATTTGCCTGAGCGGAAGCCTCCTGGTAACGGCACGAGCCGCGGCAAGACAGAACATGCGACAAAAAATAAAAACCGACGGTGTGGAAACTTCTGGCTTCGCGAGCGCTCGCATTCTCAAGCCAAAAATGCTCAACCATACCGAAAACAAAATAACGTCCTCGATTCCAGGTCAAAACCGTGATACCCAAATATCAACCTCTCTACACAGGTTGCCGTCGAGATACATCGGAAAAAAAAAAAGTAGCACCCAAAGACGAAGAACGGGACGCACACACCGGTTAAACCAGCACCGGAAACACTAGGCACGCGCGAAGCCCACACCAAGAGCGTGCTGTTTCTATGAGCCACCACAGGACGGAATGTCTACCAAATATCCGATCCGACATATCGAGGGACCCCTTCAGGCACCAAGCACTATTTTCTATGAGCCACCAAACACGGAACATCTGCTACATCTCCGATCCGATACCTCCGGGAACTCCGAGGCTGCCGGCCAGCCGAGTCGGCGTCAAGAGCATTTTTCAAGCAGCCGCAAAGACCGAGCATGTACCAGACGTACGATCCGATACCTCGAGAGACTCCTTCAGGCCGCCGGCCAGGCCGCGTGCGTCGGCTCCTTCCGCCAGAGCGGCCGCTAGCTCCCTCCGATGTGTCGCCGCCGCCCCCTCGAAACGCCTTCTCTCCGCCTCCAACTCCGACTCGGAGTCCCGCAGCTGCCGCTTCAGGTCGTCCTTCTCCCTTTGCCAAAACCGACCGCCGGCGGGGTGAAGAGAGGGAGAGCGGGGTGCTATGTATGCCGTGGGGAGCAGGGGTCCAAGAACAATAGCAACAAACGCTCGACTTATCGAGCGGGTGTCTACAAAGTAGCTACGAGTCAGTGTCTAGCAGAGGGAGGAACGGGCTCTCGTCGCTACGTCTGCGCCACACCTGCGGCTGGAAATAGGATGAGTGGGACGGGTGGACGCAGACCGCCTGGAAAACTTCAACACCCGAGCCTTATTTGCCTACACACATTCTCCAAGTTTTTTAGCGTCTCGTGCAGCTAGCCCCATCGCAACTCTCAACTTCGTTTTCGTCACAGACAGACATAGATGGACACGGGCGGCGTCGGCGGCTCTGCATACCTGCGCTCTACCACGCGCCACCGCTTGAGAAATTGGAAGTTAGAAACTGAGGGTTTCATTCCTACATGTGCTCACACCAACACCTGTGTACTCTCTGTTGCCCGCCGTACTGGTGCAACGAAAGACCGAGGAAACGCCCGGATGAGCGGATGAGCGGATGAGCTTCGCATGTATGGGTGTGGCGGCGTGTTCTGCAGCAGCTCACCGCTTCAGAGTGTCGACTATGGACCTGCTCTCCTGGTCTAGAGCTCCAAGCCTCTCCGCGTACTCGCCGTTGGTAGACTCCTGTGGTCGGGTTTTCCACACGGAGTCGCAAAAATCACAACTTTTCTTGCTTGGCTCGTCAAGACCGTCAGAACCGTCAAGAGCAACAGCAGCCGCATCACCACCACCAACAACAACAGCAGCAGCAGCAGCAGCAACAACAATAACGATGGAAGCAACACCAATGAGCTGCACCTCACCAAGTACGAGCACCTCTTCTCCAAGAGGTGGCAGTGTGCTTCCAATCGCCCTTCACGGTCTCGCGCGGACTCTCCCTCCTGCACTTTCAGCTGCAGAGACTGCTCGGCGCGGTCAAATTGAAGTAAGAGGGCAAAGGCAAATGGTCCGAGCCCATTGGGAGGGGGAGGGGTATCGTGCGGGGCATGGTCGTGACATGAGTTGAATGGCAAAGGCAGACAGAGGCAATGAGTAAAGTAGTCGAATGTCCGGGGGGCTCCGCAGAATGTATGTTCATGTAGAAACATATGCGACCGCCTGCGATCCTGCGTGAACGTGAGCTATCACCACGCCAGCAGCGATGACGAGAACGATCATAGCAACCGCAGAAACAGCACGGACAACATGATCAACAACAACGTTGGCGACAAGCGGCAGCAAAAAACTACAGCAAAAAAATTCTCGCGACCGCCCTGACTGAACAGCCCCCTCCCTCCCCCGCTCCGTCCCGGCTTTGTAGGGATGCGAGGTCAATGGTCTAACGACTACGGCATGCACGACTATGAGTACCCCCCCCCCCTCCCCCCCTGTCTTTTGCGGAGCCCCCCGCTCCGCCTTGCCTGAATGACAGAGTCTTTCCTCTGGAGGTCGATGCGGAGCTGGTGCACCGCCGCAAGCTGCTGCCTCATGACGTCAAGGCTCTCTTTCTCCATTCTCAGATCCTCGAGCTCTCTCGCAGCTCGCATCTGAATCATCGACGGGAGCGTGACGTGAACGCGTCTGGTGTTCATTTCATTTCTACACGCACACGAAGATGTTCTCTCGACGCTTGTGAGCGTTCTGCATCCTCCAATTGCTACTAAATTGCTTGCTGTAGTTATGTGTGTATTTTTTACATGAATGTTGGACATCGATGCACCGTGGCGACTTGGTGAAGCTCATATACTCCACTTACAGCCCCTTGTGTTGACTGTAAACTACCGCCGTAAGTAGAGGTGGCCGGTATCATTCGCGCAGTCAGGTGTGCATGAATCGTGAAAAGTAACCGGGGGGCGCGATGTTTGCATTTGGGGGAAGGGCGGAGGGTCACAATGGTACGAGGAAAGCACAGGCGAGCAGAAACGTTGTGCAGTCAAAAACAACAGGGGGTGTGTAACTAGCAAAAATATAATAGGAAATATACATGCGCTAAAAAGTAAACCCGTTCGAGACATACCCACTTGATCGACTTCACAAGTCGCGAGGGAAGGGATTGCTGCACCCTCCTCGCGATAAAAATATCTCAGGCAGGAACCGTAGGAGGGGGTCCAGCCCCCCCCTCGTATGTGACCCCGATTGGGTGGTCTAGCTGGTTGAAGTGGAGGATAGGGGCCAGAGGGGCAGACGACAGAGTTCAATAATGGGAGACAAAAAAAAATACACACACACACACAGTAGAAGGGGATGCGTTAAGGCCTATCCAGCAGTGAGTGGGAGAAAATCGGCTGGATACTGGGCTTTACGTCAGTCTCTTCGAAAGCCTTTGCGGCAATATTTGCAAGGTCCGCAGACCACGAGGGTCGGGCGGAAATGATAATGATCCAACGCAGGCCGGCAGAGATCGAGTGTACAACAATCCTTGGAGGTCGCGAGGCACGGTGGCGACAAGGAAGGACGCATTCATGGAGCCGAATCGATGAAGGAAAAATCAAGGGTTCCCCGTCGGCGGGCTTATGTGTATCAGCCTGCTGAGTGCACACACAAGTCTCAAACGTGCTGCACACTCTATTTGTTCGTTCTCTGTTTAGGTATTTAGACATGCGGACGAACATGCGGCGGGTTTGCACCCTGCTCATCACTTCATCGTGTCGCCATACTGTACAGCCACCACGTCGACGACTCTAACCCCCCCCGACCACAGGTGGGAGTTGGTTGGTGTGCTTTAATGTTTCCGCTTAGTTCGTTTTGCAGACATATTTTAGAAATGTACATGTAGTCTATTACCACGAATGCGCGCCAGATCGTTCTCCGTATCTTTGTTGACAGGCTGGCGATGTGTGAAGACACTGAGGACTGCGGTATGTAGATTACCGGCAACCGGAGATCTTAAATTCATGATGCCCGTGCCACCCAAGCAGTACAACAAGTAGCACCACCGCCACGAAAGCAAAGCCTCCTATGTTTCTAGCCCGCGACGGCTCTCGACCCTTTCCCCCACCTCTGCCGACTCTCTCAGATCCCGCGGTATGGAAGATAGAAAGGAGGCAGAGGGCTCCGGCTCCTCTGGCCGCTTCGCCCGCCGACCGCTATGGGAAGATCTGGCGTCGCCATCATCGTCACCATCGAAGTGCTGACGATGTCGGTGCTGGTGGTACTTTCCAGTGGAACTACTATTGGAAGTGGAAGATGCCGGTGGTGAAAGGCGAGTGCTGCTGCTGCCCCTCGTGCTACTGGCAACAACCGGCGACGTTATTACCCCGCCGCCGTCGCCATAGATATCGCCATTTCCTCGCTCTTGCGAGTGCACGCTGATGGCTTCCGTCGCGCCGACAAGAGCACTCGCGTCCGACAAGCCGCGGATGGATTCCTGGAGTCGCCGCAGCGAGCTCTGGATGTCGAACATCCGGTCAGGAGCCACGGAAGGCGGTGGTACTGCTGTCTATCCTGGCCGGTGGCCTCTGTCTGGCACCTGACCTGATCACCTCTCGACCCACTTCACCGAGGGGACCACTTTCAAATGTGAACGGGGTGCAAGGTGCAAAGAGGATTGATTTTGCGGGGCCACCAGGAACCTCTCAAACCTTTGTTTGTTTGGGGCAGGCAACGTGCACGGCACGCGGTCACCCCTGCCTGCCCGCTGCCGAGGGGCACGATGTATGAATGGGAAAAGGTGGGCCTCTTCCTCTATTTGTGTTAAGAGTTTTGGTGGATTTCGCCAAACCGACGTTGCGACCTTGTCACCACATTGTCGTGTTCAAGGTAGCTAGCAAACGTAGCTATCAGTTGCGCCGCATCTGAGTCTTGCCAAGTGCTCCCTCCCGCTTGCAGCTGTTAATAATGTGTGTGGAACACCTTAGGTGCGTGAGCCCTGCTTCCCTCTCTCCCTAGCAGTGCATCAAAGTGGCGTGCACACGGGCATGACGTATGCCTGCTATATTCCGCACAGTCGTGTTGCCTGCTGGAGGTCTTGTACCAAAGAGGCCCAGGCCCCCGGCAGCATCCCTTCGCCGCAAAAGGCAAATACATACTGTAGTCTACCCACACACACTCACACACACCGTCCGGACCCTCGAATAGATAACAGTGACAAGGGTGAATGCAAAGCTAGACCAGCCGGGCGGTAGAAATTCTTGGCGCATCGCGCCATCTGCTGGTGTTTCGCGCCCTTTTCCTGCTGCATTTACCAAGTTTTTTCTCGCCAGCGTCTGCTCGCCGTGGACGTAACAGCAGCTGGATAGGGCAGGCACCGGCTTCGCAAGGTGTGACATCGCACGATGTTGACACACACGTTGCGGCGAGATTCGCGTACAGCGCACTACGTTTGCATATTGTTGTGTGTCTGTGTATCCTACGAAATCTTGTTTTTCGTGCATTTCCCGGAAAACCTCCTTTTGTTCTCGGCAGGCCGCCAGCATGGGCGTCACGACGACCGCAACGGCCTCGAGCAGCGGCAGCAGCTCGCACCATTCGGAATCGGCGGCGGCGGCGGCTTCTTCTTGGGCGGCAAGGGATGGCCGACAGCGGCACCCTCCACCACTTGCGGCTGGCAGCAGGAACGGTGTTAGGCAGAGCAGTAGCAGTAGTATCGAAGCAGAAGCATCTCCCGCACCTTCTTCAACGGACCAACAAAGTGTTGATATCCGGAGCAGTAGCGGGACATCCAGCGGAGGCGGCAGCAGCGGCGGCGGCGGCGGCGGCAGCACCAACGGTGACAGCCGAGAAAAGAGCATGGATGGCGATTTGATAGGTGACGAGACTGCCGCACTGGCGGCAAGGACAAGAGAAGGTTCCGGGGTAGCGGCGGCGGCCTCGGCGGCGGCGGCGACGGAGAATTCGTCACCTCCGTTACCGGTGGCAGCTCCGTCGGAGGGTGTGGTGATCAGGATACTCATCTCTGGGGCGCACGCGTCTTTCCTGCACATGAGGGTGTTCCCTTCGACGACTGCTGGGCAGGTGAGCGGCGCATTTGCCTCACGCAGATGTTTCGCACGTTACGGTAGCCGATGATCCCAGCGTACACCCCCCTAGTGAAGATAACGCTGACACATACCCGGCACTTGAAATCCGTCGCAGCGGCGGCGCTTGTTGTGAGGTCAGCGCTGTGCGATCACGGAGAGGCACTCCAGGTCCCATGCCCCTTGTCCTAGCCCCCTTGCCCTACTGCTGTAAGTTTGGCACATATCAAGGTGATGGATGCCTACAGATTCGCGTTTCTTGTGACAATGTTACGAAGAAGTTTTAGCCCTCCCCAACTAAGTTCATTGCTGCTATCGACCTTTTTTTCTCTGCTCCAAGGTTTGCCGCAAGATCGGGGAGAAGCTCCGGCAGCTGCCAGCTGAGCAGAACGAGTACGTCCTCATTGCCATCTACGCCCGCCCATCGAGGAACGTGAGCGACACGGGCGGCGGGAGCAATGGACCTGGCCATAGACATTCAGCGGGGGTTGCTGACCGTGGCGCGGCGGTGGGGGGCGACGAGGTTGACAACGACGGTGCTGGCTACACCGCTGGTGGTGTTAGGGACGAGCATGAGCTGCGGCACGATGGGAGGAGAAGGAGGTAAGGGGGAAGGTATTCTTCTGCGACCCCCACCCCGCCCTCCCGATTACGGCATGCACTGGTATGAGTACCCCCCTCCCCCGCGCGCCTCCCGTGGTTTCCAATGGTGAGCGCCGTTGGGTCTTTGAACCCCCCCCAAGCGCTTACTAGAACTCCCCCTTTGTGACACTGCTTTCCAGGAGAGGGGAAGAAGAGCATCAAAGCAGCATTAGACATATCCTCCATACCTTTCGGTCGGAGGAGCGCCTTGGGGAGGTGCGATTGGGCCTTCCCGAGCCAAATAGTGCAGGGAGGCCACAAAATCCAGCTAACAGCCACGATCGCGGCGCCAGAGGCGATGCGGATGGCCCAGACCGAGGTAGGACCGACAGCTTTTCGACGTGGACGACGGCTGCCAGCCCCGCTGCCGGCGGTGCTGCTGATATCGACGCTGCCCTCCGGGCGCAAGGAACAATCGACAACGGTGGCGGCGGCAGGCGTGTGGACGAGGAGGGGGCGGCGGGAAAGCTTGGGGTTTCGCGCGGCAACGGAGGCGTCCGGCGGGGGGGGGG